CGCCCACTAAGACACACACGCCTTCTCTGCTAAACCCCACCCAGTAAACGACACACTCAGCCTGTCAAACCCTGCCCACTAAGACACACACGCCTTCTGTGCTAAACCCCGCCCACTAAAAGACACACACACACACACACACACACATTCACCATGTCAAAGCCCGCCCACTAAGCAACACATGCACACATTCACCGTCAAACCCCGCCCACTATATGACACATATGCCCTCTGTCAAACACTGCCCACTAAAAGACAAACACACATACCTTTATGTCAAACCCGCCAACTAAGACACACACGCTCTCTGTGTCAAACTCCGCCCACTAAACAACACACACGCCCTATATGTCAAATTCCACTCACTTAAAGATACACGCACACACACATACGCCTTTTATGCCAAACCCCGCCCACTAAGACGCACTCCTGCCCACCAGCCCAAGGTCTGCAAATCTGAACATGCAAAATGACTGACAGGGTTTCTGATTGGCTAAAATACAGACCACTCCCCTGCACTAAAAAAAAAAGGTCTAAATTTAAGATTTATATATATGAATTGCATATAAAACAGTGTGCACACAGTGTGGAATAAACTTAATACGATGCATATTTGTCAGTCATAAATGAAACAGGTCAGATTTCTGTATTAGTACTAATAAACGGAATGTGTTTTAAATACAAAATAACCAGGTTTATATATTTATCATCAACAAATATAATTAGTTTCAATCTCATGCATTTAATTGAAATGAAAATTGCTTGTTCAACAGCTAGTCATATTTTAACCATGTTTATACTTTTGAATAGATTTATGCTGATTCTAAGCAATATAAATAAATGCATTTTGAAAACAAAATTATTTAATTAAAATCAAATAAATGCAAATCAGTTGATTATGGAGTTTAGAAATCTGACCTCATTATGTATGACTGACAAATATGCATCACATTAAGTTTAATTTGCATGGAATTCAAATACATAAATCTTAAATTTAGGCCTGATTTCAGTAAGTACAGAGCGATCGGGCGGACAGCGAGGGCTGCGGGTGTCATTTGGGTCAGAACTGAGTGTCTTCTCAACATTTGATGTTTGATACTCCTAAAAAAATCACTGACAGCAGTTTTAATGTCACTCAAAGTGTTTAAATATGAAAGGAAACAGATGCTGAGCGAGCCTGAAGTGTGTGTGTGTGTGTGTGTGCAGAGACGCTCTTCAG